TGCTAAAGAAAAAAGGGTTGGGTGGTTGGTAATTACTTTGTCCATTATAGAATTACCTCTTGTGGGGGAATGACAGAAATCTGTCATACCCAATGATAAAAGTGGATAAGTATGGTTGAAGTCACCAACGATTATGTGCAGGTTAACATCTAACAGTGGGGCAATAAAAGGTATGAACGAGTCGAAAAATGACATACGATCAAACTGTGTACAGGAGGGGGCTATATACAAGTTAGTCAAACTTGCGTGAGTAAAACGGGAAAATCTAGGGTGACACTGTATAATTAGGCACTCAATACCTTTTGGGCAGTGCTGATAAACAACATGGGACTTGCCACACCAGGAAACATTGACATATATGGCAACACCGCCTCCGGTCTTTTTTCCCCCGGTTCCGCGATCCTGCCGGTAAACATGAAAACTGTCTATTGATACTAGAGAGTCATCTACGTCCTTATTCAACCATGATTCTTGAACACAGACTGCACACGTGTTCGTATGAATTCTTGATCGGAGGACACTAGTTAAATCTGACATTTTGGGAAACAGGGACCGAGTGTTGGTGCTGACCAATGAGGGGACAGTCATCTTTGACAGAGGGGCGCAATTAAGAGCAACTTGTCATCCTGCACGCTTGCGTTTTTTGTCCACTCTGGACAGTGAGAAAATGGAGTCGCACAAACCGCTGAACCACTGAAGCATGTCCTGGCACATTTAAAACAAATAATATCATCCCGTGAGTGACGACGGCGCATGATAGTGAGTGAAAAGGTGAAAATTCCCACAATGTGACGGAGAGCGTGCGAGTGTAGCGTAACCAATCGAAGGGCGCGCGTAGCTTTTTGACTCAATTTCAACGGCGAAATTCCTCATGTAAATATAACAAAAAAATGCGTGAAATTAATGGCTGGGAGGCACTACTGGACAGCTCTTTCGATCTCGTGGGGTCTTATCCGTGCAGTGTGCGAATCCATCGACCCAATTGGGGATCGCGAACCCGGGATCCCACCACAGGCAGAATGTAAGCATGCTACCCACTCGGCTACCTAGGGGCAGCTGATCAGACCGTTTTTTTTCCACTGTCCTTTTACATGATCTAGCACAACTCATCTTTGTGAGCTTGATAATCACATGAGGTAAATAGTCAGGTTTTGAATATTTCTAACCGAGTCATAACCCCCCCTCCCCCCGGAGGCTAGCACTGAGATGAGCGAGATCTTTGGCCCGCAACAAGCGCGCCTAGGTGGGTTGTGCTATATCATGTAAATGGAACATAAAAAACTATCTGATCACTTGTTCCGGGGTGGCCGAGTGGGTAGTCTGATTGCGTTCTGCCTGTGATGGGGTCCGGAGTTCGCGATCCCCAGTTGGGTCGATGGATTCGCGCACTGCATGGATGAGACCCCACGAGGTCGAAAGAGCTGTCCAGTGCTAGCTAGCTTTTCACTTCATGCTTCAGTTGTCATACACATAAGGAATTTTTCCTTTGAAAATTTGAAGTTTTTCACCCGGTCATAAGTTTCCAAAACATTCATACGGGTCTGTTCCGATCGGGACCCATGCTATTTGTTTTTTTAGTCAACCCATCATCGCTCTGTTTCTCCGGGTCAAACCTTCTTTTCCTTCCTTCTTACTTTCTTTCCATGATGACCACAAGGATATCTGAGCAATGTTGCTCTCCTGTTAACTGTCGATCGTAGATCGTGGATTCCAGCGTGCGGAACAAATCAACAACCACACAAACTCGCACGTGTTCCGAATAGAGTTTAAAATAACTAACCGATTTACTAACAAACTAACTAACCAACTGGCTGTGAGCCCATTGGAACGTACAGGCAGTGTAAAATGATCCACTGGAATGATCACCTCTAAAGGTGCTATTTTTATTTAATTTTTGACAGAACCTACACAAAAATGAAATGAATAATACCTTTTACAGGTATTGATCAAACTCATGCAAAACACCCTGACTTCGATCAGATTTGTTTCTTCAAGTCTCATTCACGGGGGATTGACTATGATGGTATTGCCCTCACCCACAGCGGACGGAACATATCCACCATAAGTCGAATACCATCAGAATGTATGCTTTCTTGATTTTGACGACGGTTGCTGATATATCATTTGTTATATAACAGAGCTTCAATAAAAAAACATCGTTAGAGTTAATTTGTAAAACTGACTCATATGCATGACACATTTCGCTCATGTTCCATTTTTGAGCACTAGACTCAGTCGTTATTTCAACATGTGCACCAAGTCTACCAAGTTGTCTATCAAACAGCCATTGTCCACTTCCTCCAACGCATACTGCATCCTGGCCACTGACAATCACTGTCGAGGTAGCTACTAACGTATCCATGTTCCCAAACACAGAAAACGGTTTTTGGTTGCATTCAAATTTGACGATGTTAAACCAGTTTCTACCACCAAACTCAAACGAGAAGCTATAACAGAGAGAAATGTAACCTCCGCGAATGCATTTTCACGCGTTTTTTTATGTTTGAGTTCGATAATAGAACCATCAGTTATTATTACTGTTCACTCATTCTGTCAACTGTCAGTCATGTGATTCGAAATTCCATTCCTTACCCGAGAGTTCACCATTCGAATCCCCGTAGAGACCAACACCTCCGAAATCCTCAGTATGGTCGGGGTAGGGTGTCTCTCGGATTGCGGCTGGTCACCCTCCCCTTGCACCTCTCTCCGAAATGCTCCCATACGACCAAGTGTCTCAAATAGCCTCTGATTAGGAAGCCTTACTCACTGCCTTCTCGTGAAGGCGGAGGTGTTTTCTCATAAAAATGAGAGGGCGAAAAGCCGATATCCGGGGCTATAACTGGATTGGTGGACCACTAGTAGTCCACCTAGGGGAATTGGCCAAAAATCCTGATTCCAAGCCAACAAAGAGGAGGCGTACGAATCACACACCACACCTTTTCGGTTGTGGCAGTAGTCACCGGCTCAATCGGGTATTAAGGTGTATTGGGCACCTTCTACGTTTGACCCCGTCCGAAGGGGTGTATGATCCGATGAACTGAACACCGGCTCCCAATGGATTGCGGTTTTCGCACACCGCCCTGCCACCTTATGGGTCAGGCTTTGGCTAACCGAACGTTCCGGTTGTGGATTCCTCAAGAAAAATTCACCTGCATTAACCTGGGCAACCTGGCAGTATTCAGCCCACAAGCCAATCATGGAACGTTTTTTTAAAAAAAAGATTATTGTACCATGATTTGTTTAGCACACAGTCTGGTATCAGGCAGATGTGAAATATAATGATAATACCAATAATAACAGCACTTTACGCATTGAGACCGAATTCCCATGAAAAAAAGCTGTTTACTGATGTTTTTCTTTTATCACAAGAGTGCTATGCGGAAAGAAAGAAAGAAATGTAAGTCGTGTGGAGAATAAAAGAAAGTACGCATAGCTGTGCGCAGCACGATACCGAAAATCAGGATAGATGGAGTCCGGCATCCTGTTAGATCGAACAAACAATATGAACAATAACTTCCGGAATTGGTATGCGTAAGTTCGCAAATTCTCCCGAATTTGGTTCTGAACGGAATTCGGGTTGCGGTGTAAGATCTGCTCGAGACCCTGGAAGACCGAGCTGACATTGTGAACGGGTTTGTCACCGTGTTCAAAGGCTGGACTACGAAGCCATCCGGTGCGACCGAATTCGAACACAGATGTGATATTCGGAAAAAAAACACGTAACCGACCCCCAAACTGGGTTTGTCTTCAAAACAGTGTTTTCATCTCTGGAAGACGATTGTTTAGATTATCCCATTCGGTTGTTCTCTGTTTACTGGCACCACGCACTGTTGATGATCTTGGGTGTGGATGGGTATCACTCCGTGTAGCTCGGGGGGTCAGAGTTAGAAGTCCCGATACAAATTTCCACCGTTCGATTCCTGACGAGTCCTAAATGGGACGAAACGGTTGTCCAATGTTCTTTGTCAGCCCTCACACAGATTTTTATCGCATTGAAATGTTTCACCACTGTTAACATCTATCTATCGGTAACCTTATATTGTAGTATCGGTTGGTAGTATTTATGGGGCTTGGATATGGGAACTTGAGTGCCCATTGCCAGCTCCCACTCAGATATTTAATTGTATGATGAATGAACGATGTAGCCACACCATAAACGTAAGTCCCACACATGGTGTGAATTTGACTGTAATTTCTACGAGATTATTGTTTGTTTCAGTCATCCGATTACGTAACTTGTGATGCATCACGTGATGCACCGTTCCCTTTTGGATTCTGTGACAAGCAAAAATTGCACAGGAAGGGGGCGGAGCGGGGCAGTGAGCCAGTACACAGTCGTAAAAAAATGTTATGATTTAAGAAAAAAATATATGAGCCTGAATTTATGTGAACTGGGGTGAAATAGTCCAGGAGAATACATAGTGGGAACAGTAGATGTGGGAATAACGTCATTTTCTGTGTTGCCTAATCACATCAGACGGGTTAATGCCACGAGCACTGAGGCTCATATGACCAAACCACCGATAGTTTGCGAAAACCAAAACTGAAGTACACATCCAATTTTTTGAGAATAATTAAAACCCACAAATCCCGTCTCGAATTGTCGGGGCTTGATTGTAATTCACTGAGAACGAACTTGCTTATCAACTCGGTTACTTGTTATAATCAATTGGTTTTGGTGATTTTAATTCTTATTTCGTCTTTTCATCAATTTGATTGATCTGACTTGGAAAACGAGATCACTGAAAACATACCTTTTGTTCTGTAAGATTCCAGCAGACTCAAAGCCTCGCTTGGGCTTGAAAAGTCTCAAATATTGGTTTACATAGTGTGTATGCACATATGCACTGTGTACTCTCTCCTTGTTGATCATAGAGGTTTGCTTTCTTTTCCCGTCCCTAAACTTAAGTCCAATCCCTATTATCCTTACTCATTCTCACTTATCTTGTATGTAGTATGAAATTGGCAGCGATCAGTGCATTTCGCTTCACTGTATTACGATGGTGTACGATGGTGATAATGCTGATGATCCGGATGTTGATGACTCGAAAGATGATGACGCTTCAAATTCAAATTTTTATTTTGGGCAAATTCCAAAGCTGATGCTTATTGAATTCCGTAAGATTTGTGTTGATAGTACAATTAAATAACCGTATTATGACCTTCACTCACGGGTGCTGAAAAGTTAGGTGTTTCCAAGCTTCATTCAGTCGTGGCTTGAATGAATCGGTGGTTAATGGAAGAGAGTAGTTCCAGGTATTACAAATTCCGAGGCCGAAAGAGTGACACCTGCAGTATAGTCGACTCTTTTGGAGCAAAAGTTTAAATGGATTTTCTCTGAGGTAACCATTCCAGGATATTATTAGTTAAACACGGGCGGTTAGATTGATGTAATAATTCGAGTTCGAGAATATTTAGCCTTTCAACGTCGGTCCTTCATGGTAAACCGTTGGTCATTTCGGTTACTGCTCTGGGCCAATGTTCCAGTGCCTTTTAATCGCGAATTACCCGTGGATTCCAAGCCTGAATAGCATACTTGGTGTGTGGTCTTATGTATGCTGATAGCAAACGGGACAATAGGTCTGGATCCGAATGATCCAAAAACGCGTTTTAGCGATTCAGCGAGCTTTACTATGGCCTTTGATGACGCTCTTGCGGAATGTGTGAAACATTCTAGATCCCCACGAACTTTGTGATCCTTTTCGTTTGGTGAAGGCGATAATTGCTGATTTCCAAGTACATGTGGAAAGCAAACCCTGTGAAGCAACGATACAACCCTGTATTTCCCAAAGTTGAATTCGATGGCGTTAGTGACAGATCATCGATAAGCTGCGTCGAGATTTCCTTGCAGGGTTTCATAATCTGCAGGATATTGTACCATCCTCCCTGTTTTGGCTTCGACAGCGAATAATAAAGCATTTTCTCCAAGGGCAGCTGGTAGGTCTTTTATGAATGCACAGAAAAGTTACGGACGATGATGGTCATGGTGATGATGATAATGATTCGGATGATAATGTTGATGATGATGAAGGTGATGATGATGATGTTGATGATGATGATGATGATGATGGTGATTATGATGACGATGATGGTGGTGATGATGACGATGATTATGATTCGGATGATGATGATGATGATGATGATGATGATGATGATAATGATGTTGATGATAATGATGATGGTAACACTGATCAGATTTGACATGACTCTTCCGTATTACATATCTAAACGATCCACTTGGACAAGAATGAGTTGTTATCCAAATGCGTGATTAATTTATTTATCCACACTTGATGCAAAATAACTCACACCATATTAAAAAACATGATGGGCTGCTTATTCGTTCGTCACCTTCGTTGGAAGGACCGTTGTGGGCCAAACTGATGCACGACTTATAATCGGACTGCCTCTGTTTACGGGCACTTCATGACCGCAGCAACTGATTTAACTAGGCGTGCTTGCCACGTCGCATGTTGGGTATGTTCGGCCTGCATTTATCGTCGTGTCGTGGCCTGTTCTTAGTCCCCATCCCATTTGTGAATGAAACCACATCGAAATAGGAAGGGGGACTGAAAATGAAAATGCCAACCGCTTTTATGACTGAGTATCAGAGAATCGGTTGATCAGTTCAGTACTCCTTCCTTCTCTCTTCATAGTCAGTGCTCATTCACTCACTCACTCGTTGTGGGTGTTCATTTTGTGGGCGTATTTTCTCTGTTGTCCACTGTCCGATACCATTGATGATATTGCCTCATTTTCTTCTTGTAAGTGTACTCCAAACTGTTTAAACCGAAATCAACCATCAATATTCATAAGTGAAGTGAACAAAGGAGATGCTACCCGGACGATGTGATGTGACCTTCCAGAAAGCGGTATATCTCTTCAACTTTCAACAATTTCAGACAAAGGGCAACAGTGTCTTCTGAGACGAAATCGGTCCAAGTAATTAGGCAATGGGACCAGTCGTGTACAAGGAAAATGAAAAACAATCTTATCAGCTGTCCCCGGGGTGGCCGAGTGAGTAACATACTTGCGTTCTGCCTGCGGTGAGGTCCCGGGTTCGCGATCCTCAGTTGGGTGGATGGATTGAATGAGACCCAATCAAGTCGAAATAGCTGTCCAGTGCTTCTTGGCTTTTCAGTTCATGGTTCATTTTCTCCGTACGCGACGAAATCCCTTGTGAAATTGAATTGAATCCTGCACTACTCTCATGTGATATTGTTTTTACGTAACATCGTTTTGGCCAAAATGATTAGTAGCCAGCAAGCTCGTTATTCACGTCAGATTTTCATGTTTGCCGGCCCATTACATACACTAGATAGTTTTTGTTGTTGTTATTGGTGTTGGTGGTGGTTCTGCTGCTGGTGGTGGTGTGTTCTCCGATCCGGAAGAGTTGTATCCAGGCGAACAACACTTTCAGCTCGGAGAACACACCAACACCACCAGCAACAATATCCGCATCCCGAGCTACAATCATTTCACATTATTTTCACTAGATAGGTGTTCCGTACTTAATTGGACTTATCAGCAGTGTGCACGTTTTGAATCTCTTCAAGAGGTCAAACGATAAACCCTCAGGTTTGCGATGGAAACACTAATTCACGAGTTACATTTGTCGTGCAGAAACCATGTTCTGTTGTCGATTTCACTCCCTGGGAA